AATATTCTTCCACACCTTATGAGAAATAAGACTGTGACTTAGCTAATACTAGAAAAGGGAAATAATTTGTGTACCTTGGCATTTAGCACTGTGGCTTTTTTATTCATTGACTAAGCCTGGACATACTGAATATCTCTAACTCTATAATACTGCTCAGAAAAGCAATGTGTACACACAGAAGATCAAATATCACCATTCATATAAAATTTAACATTATTATAAGTAAGCTACATTTCAACACATTTGACTAAAATTCCTTTTGTTAAATGCTATCATCCTTATTTTACAAAAATGTAGACTGATTTCTATATAACATTCCGCCTAGAAAGAAATGAGCAAAACTTAGTGCTGGAACTGTAGCATTCTCTTTTACATCAAAAGTACATACTAGCCAAGAATGGTTTTGAATAAAAAATGAGCTTAAAAAAACGTTAATAACTAAAATCTTAATAGTAATGGAAGATAATATTTGCTCATTGATCTTTTTAGTGTTACATTTTATGTTATCAAGATAAATTAACATAATGTAAAATCAACCATTTGAGAGCTACAAACCAGTGGCATTTAGGCATTCATTATATTGTGGAATCATCACTTCGACCTTGTTCCAAACTATTTTCATCCATATTGAAATGTGTATCTGATACACATTTGTGGTTGAATGATATTCCTTTGTATGGATTACCACATTTGTCAATCCATTCATCAGTGGATGAACATTTGGATGCACACCTTTGCCCATTGTGAATAGTTCTATATATTTATGTACAAGATTTTGTTTTAATACCTGTTTTTAATTCTTTGGGATTAAAGATTAAAGAATTAAAAACAGGTATTAAAATCTTGTACATAAATATATAGAACTATTCACAATGGGCAAAGGTGTGCATCCAAATGTTCATCAAGGATCCTCTATGACCCACATCCCAGAATTTTAGAAACAAAAGCAAAAATAAACAAGTGGGACCTAATGAAACTTAAAAGCTTTTGCACAACAAAGGAAACTATAAGCAAGGTGAAAAGACAGCCCTCAGATTGGGAGAAAATAATAGCAAACGAAGCAACAGACAAAGGATTAATCTCAAAAATATACAAGCAACTCCTCCAGCTCAACTCCAGAAAAATAAATGACCCAATCNGGTGTTTCGTAGAAGAAATGGTGTCCTGGAAAATCACTTTGAATAATATTATTTTAGAACAACAACAACAACCAAAAAAATCCCGTAAGGTCTTCATAAAAACATAAAATGTTATGTAAAAGGGCTTTTATTTATATTCGCTGTTTTGGTCTTTATGAATATTCATGCCCATATTCTTTTGAAACATTATATTTATTTAATCTGAAAGGCCAGTGCTTCAGATGAGAAAAACTCATGTGGGGAAAAGGAGTGAAATTCATCTAAAAACAAATATTGTTTGGCGACTCCATTTTCTACTTGTGTGTTCAACACCTCCATAAATCAGCATTTAGTGAAGCAGCCTGTTTGTACAAGGGGGTCTTACCACAGAAAGACCCACCAAGTTCTAAGTGCCTTTGTTTGCTTTTTCTCTCCTTCTGAAAGAGGAAAATCTTACAAGGGAGAATGCATATCCTTGAGCTGTAAAATGAATTATTTTTGTGTCTGCGTTGGCTCTGTGGGGCTTTCAATTCTGGAATTGGGATCAGCTCAGTTGCTGTCTGGATTCCTCATGATCCTCCTACAAATCAGTGAAAACCAGACGGTCTTCAGAGCAGGTCTGCTCTACGGCGATCACGTCACTCTGGAACACCACAGCTATTTTATTTGGCTTTTATTATTATTATTATTATTTTTCACAGAAGGACCCAAACCATCTCACCTGTCCCAGCAGCAGCTCTCATGTTAATACATTAATACAGGATCTGGTCTTTCCAAGGATTATTTTAAAGTCTCAGGATTATTACATTTTGGTCTTATGTCACTCTTTTATGACATGTTTGATGCTATTTAAAGAAACTGGATTCCATCACCAGATTCATAAAATGCAGCAGTGGAAAACTATATATTTTATCAAGCCTTGCCTGACTTTAAAGAATTGATGCCTTCGAACTGTAGTTCTGGAGAAGACTCTGGAAAGTCCTTTGAACTGCAAGGAGAATAAACCAGTCAATCCAAAAGGAAATCAGCTTTGAATATTCATTGGAAGGACTGATGCTGAAGCTGAAACTCCAATACTTTGGCCATCTGATGCGAAGAGCTGACTCATTTGAAAAGGCCCTGATGCTGGGAAAGATTGAAGGCCGGAGGAGAAGGGGACCACAGAGGATGAGATGGTTGCATGGCATCACCGACTCAATGGACACAGGTTTGGAAACTCTGGGAGTTGGTGATGGACAAGGAGGCCTGATGTGCTGCAGTCCACAGGGTCACAAAGAGTCGGACATGACTGAGTGACTGAACTGAACTGATCGGTTCAGGGGAAGCACACCATAGGTGATCTGCCATTTTTGACATCTTCCATCAAGTGTCTATATCATCAGTATGATTTATGTCTATTGATTTTGACTTTGATCAACTGACTGAAATTTTAGGTTGCCTCACTATATATTTACTCTCCCTGCTATTCACACTGTATTTTGAGAAAAGTCACTACACTCAGCCCATACTTAAGTAATGAGGAGTTATTTTCTTCATGATTAGGGTAGCGTGCTACACAATTTATCTCTAATTCTTCTGCATGGGTGACTACTCTTCTATTCCATGTACTAATTTATTCAATCATTAGTATGAAATCATGGACATTTATTTTATAATCTGTATTATAATCAAATACTGCTATTGGGAGCATTTTCATTTGGCTCTTAAGCCTCTTTGATGTATATCCACATCAAATTTTGTAAGTTTATTTATGTTTGAGCATTTCGTTATTTTCTAGGACTAAAAGATACTCCTGGTTTATCTTGTATCTTAATTTCCTATTCCTACAATAGCCATATCTCCAAAGATCCCTGGTTCCTTTTACTGGATAACAGTATTAGAAATAAACACATGCTCATTGTTTCTACAGTTTCATTGTATTTAAGCCCTCACAGAAGACATGGCAAATGCCTAAGACAATATAGTCAAAAATACAGTATCATTTCACTGTACTAAAATCACCTGTGCTTCATGTATTCATTCATTCCCATGAACTCATGAGCCCCTGACAAGCACCTAAGTTTTCACTGTCTCCATAGGTTTGCATCTTCCAGAATATCATAAAAGCAGAATCATACCATATATAGACTTTAGAGATTGGCTTTTTTTTAACATAGCAATAGACACTTAAGTATCCTCTATATCTTTTCATGACTTAATAGATTATTTCTTTTTATTATGGAATAATATCCCATTGTTGGAGAAGACAATGGCAACCCACTCCAGTACTCTTGCCTAGAAAATCCCATGGACGGAGGAGCCTGGTAGGCTGCAGTCCATGGGGTCGCTAGGAGTCGGACACGACTGAGTGACTTCTCTTTCACTTTTCACTTTCATGCACTGGAGAAGGCAATGGCAACCCACTCCAGAGTTCTTGCCTGGAGAATCCCAGGATAGGGTCGCACAGAGTCAGACACAACTGAAGCAACTTAGCAGCAGCATCCCATTGTACAAGTACCACACTTTATTTAACCATTCTTGGATGTCTCTAGTTTTTGGTAATTGTGAATAAAGCTGTCACAAGCATTCAAATGCAGGTTTTGTATGAACAGAATTTTTAACTAAGTTTGGTAAATACCTAGTAGTACTATTACTTTAGCATATTTATTTCTCTAAAAACAAGCATTTACATTGAAACAACCATTGCAATGGAATATATTTATGCATAATGTTATTTTAAATAAATTAGAATTTAAAATATCCCTCCATACTCTATATCTTCCAAAGAAAAAGACTCCTCCATATGTATATACTGACATGTGCTCATGTAAGTATGTAACAGCATAGAAAAAAAAGTGAAATATAGCCACCAAAATGTGAACAAATTTATGCTTCTGATGAAAAAAAAAGTAGAAGCAATGGGCAGATAGAGACATACTATCATATTTCCTTCTCAGATCTCTAAAGTGTTGGATTTTTGTCCATAAGGCTAAAATTATATAATATTTTATAAAACTAAATAAAAGGTAGGCTTCCCTTACTGTTTTGTTATTTTGAAGAATATTGATAATATTGCCTTTTGCATAAGTGCATGCTCAGTTGTGTCCGACTTTTTACCTGATGGACCATAGCCCACCAGGCTCCTCTGCCCAAAAGACTGTGCCAGCAAGAATACTGGAGTAGGTTGTCATTTCCTATTCCAGGGGATCTTCTCCATCCAGCGATTGTACCTGTGTCTTTTGTGTCTCCTATATTGGCCAGCGAAATCTTTACAGGTGAGCCACCTGGGAAGTCCCAATATTGCCTTGTACTCAATCTTAAATTAGGACAATTGCTTAAATAATCAAAGAAATTTTGACTCTTTAAATTGTCTCTCTATTCTTCATTGTATGTGTGCTCTATTCTTCATTAAAGCCCCGTAAAACAAGCAGTCCAAGGCTGACTGCTCTTCAGTGGGCATACTAGGTGTACATCATTGAGTCAGCAGCTGAGCATGCACACACTAACTGGTTCACCTCCCTCTGCTAGTCAGCCCATGTCCACTCACCCAAGGCATCCGGGACTAGAAATGGCAACTTAGTTCTGGAATACTGTTTTTCTTTTTTAAAAAGTTAATCAAAGAAATGTTTTAAAACTGCTTAACTCCACCATTAGAACTTTATTATTATCCTCATCCTGACCTTGACAAAAGGCACAATTTCCAGATGACATTCTCAATTCAGAGAGACAAGAATAAAGTGGTCTCAAAGGAACATAGCATGGGTAGCTTGAGAGTTTCCTACTCCAGAGGCCACTCTCTACACTAAATATATGCCTCACACTCCCCCATAAATGCTGGTCACAACAGAAAGTGGATACTTTGCTTTGATGCAATATGATTCTATTTCAGATTCTATTTAGAATATGGAGAATGCTTTATCCTGGGGAAAAAATGTGGTCAAATATGGTGTCTCTCTGGTAAGAAGATACACTCTACACTTTGTCAATTTCTTAACTTCCCCCTTAGTTCCCTTCCTCTGTCATATTTAAGGAAATGTTTTAATGCCATATTCCCATACACACTAATTAGAATGGTTTGGAATTATGCATAGCTTTCAGAAATATCAAGAGTTTCTTCTCCAAGGTACATCTTGGAACTTCTGGACTCTATATATCATCAAAATGAGTAACTTCTACACAGTCTTGCAACTCCGTAGGTCCCCTTTTTGAGGTAGTATTCAGGTCTTCACAGAGCCACAATCATCAGGGTCTACAGTTCTCTTGAGTTAAGGAAAACTGTATTCTAGGCACAGATACATAACTGTAATTAACAGAAATTTCCAAATATTGAGAAAAGTGATGGTTACTAATTTAAGTCAGGAAGGAACCTGATAGAGATTATGGAAAGAAATCTCTCAAAGCCTACAGTAGTCAATAGTTACCCTGGGACTGGAATTATGCTCTTGGAACTGAACAGGAGATGCAGAATGACAGCACAGATGCAGGACTGGCCTCAGAGAGCACTGGGATTGCACTCCAGTCATGCTGTTTCCCAGCTCTGAGACTCTAACAGGCTACACTAGGAGCCAAACTCAGAAGAGTAAGATATATTTTGTTCATTTTTATTTGGTTAAGATGAAGATTATAGACAATGTGGGTGAAAATTTCTGGCATAATGAGAAGTATTCAGAGAGTGTGGCAGGGAGAGAGAAAGAAACAGAGGTTTAGTTTTCCCCTGACCCTGAAGTTACCAGCTCAAAAATGAAAATTAAAGTTGCCCAGTTTTAAAATTTTTACTTTTTAATTTTTCTTGAGTTTTTTTGTGAGTTCTGCTCTAACTCATTTGATTTTATAGTTATACTCGTAGAATCTTTACAGTTACTTCTACTTAAGGTAAAGTTGAAAATTACATGCTGATTTACATAAGTAATTTTAACGTGTTGTTAATATAGTTTTAATATAGTTATCCTAGTAACAATATTTGCCCTTTCTAATTTAACTAAAGTAATATTTAAAGCCTATTAAGTTAGCATTAGATGAAAAGGCTGGCATAAGCTTTTATTCTTTGATATAACATACACCACTTACAATCTGTTTCTTTTTCACTGAAGTGCTCAAAAGTGATCACAGTTCATAGTAAGAAAATATTCAGTAAATTCCTGTTTACCACACTGGAAAAAAGTAAAAGCCCCTCCTGTATCTATAGCTTTCTAATTTTATTTTTATTTTCATCCTTGGTACCTGATAACTCTGTGGATTTAAACAAAAACAATATCATCAATAGCTTCAGCTACAGACAACAGGGAGGGTAAATCCAGACTAAACCTCAGGTCCACAGTATTGAATTGATCATAATTCTTGATTCATAGTATATTCACACCATTTCTAATGGCAATTTTGGATTTACTTGTTTATTTAATAATAAAGCTATAACTATAAAACATAACTAATATAAGACTTAAATAGTTATAATATCATATAGCTGATAATATGTGCATCCTTATCCTGATCCTTAGCTGCCCAGAGTTGGAGTTACTTACATCATTTTTTAATACATAGTTATATATAGAAGTTCCTACAAAATACAGCATTTTCTATTGCTATTCATTTTATAAAAATTATGCTAATCTCTTTTTCCTTCATTACCATGTCCCAAAAAGCTACATCTCTGTCATTTTATATAGTTGTACTTTATTTGCTATGTTTCTGAATATTCCATTTTCCTGTTTATGTGCATAATTATAAATATCTCCATATATAAAGTTGTAAGAATTTATCTCGAGCATGCAAATGAGACTGAAATTGCTAGACTATAGGATGTGTGAGTATTGAGCTTTATAAGAAAAGCACAATTTTTTTTCCAAAGTGCCTATGTAAGGATATGCTTTCTTCAGCAATAAATAAGAAAACTGCTTTATTCAGAAAATATATTTTCATTTCTTTTCTTCAGATAAAATTAGAAGAAACTGAACTAAATGGAAGAAGTAACCAGTCTGTAGTGTCTGAATTTATCTTTCTTGGGCTGTGTGATTCATGGGAGCTCCAGGCCTTCCTCCTAGTGATATTTTCTTCACTTTATTTAATCACCATTTTAGGCAACATCTTCATTGTTCTTCTAATTACTGCTGACCTTCATCTCCACTGCCCTATGTACTTCCTGTTAGCCAATCTTTCATTCATTGACTTATGCCTTTCATCAGTTACCACTCCTAAAATGATTACAGACTTTCTCAAGGCAAATAAGACCATCTCCATTAGAACATGCATGTGTCAGATTTTTTTTGGACATTTTTTTGGAGGGGGTGAGATGGTGCTTCTTGTGTCAATGGCCTATGACCGTTATGTGGCCATCTGTAAGCCACTCCATTACTCTAGCATTATGAACACACAAATGTGCATTCGGCTAGTGATGACATCATGGATCATTGGCTTTGTGCATTCAATTAGCCAACTAGCTATAATTATACAATTGCCTTTCTGTGGACCCAGAGAATTGGATAGCTTTTTCTGTGATATTCCATTGGTGATCAAGCTAGCTTGCATGGACACTTATATTTTAGAAATGTTGATAAATGCTGACAGTGGGGTACTTGCCACCATTTGCTTCATTCTGTTGCTGATCTCTTACTCTTATATTCTGTTTACTCTCTGCCATCAGTCGAAGGATGGGGCATCCAAGGCTCTCTCCACTTGCACTGCCCACATCACAGTGGTCGTGTTATTCTTTGGGCCCTGTATCTTCATCTACCTGTTTCCACTCAACATCACTTGGGTGGACAAGTTTCTTGCTGTATTTTATGCAGCCATCACACCACTACTAAATCCAGTTATTTACACTTTAAGAAACAAAGAGATTAGAAATGCCATTAAGAGACTATGATGATAGCCTATGGATTTCTGTTGGTATTTCATGATCTCACATTATAAGAATGTGAGAATTCCCAATTCACATATGGAAACTATATGTATCTCTTGGTGAAAGTTTTGTGTCAATTCTATAGCATTCCAGTATTATCAAAATGAGTCCCTGTTTGGGAAATTTGGCCAGTCTTTAGAGCTATGATTTTGGTTGTTCTCAAGGATGATTTGGAATTAACAACAATGTTAATGTTAATTATTACTATCTGTACTGCTACTCCAACAAAGACCATCACACCTGGAAATTTTCTAATCTGTTATGCATTTCTTCTAGCAAAACATTTCATGTGGATCTTCTCTAACTTTTTTTTTTATATAAGTTTGTACACTGAAGGCAGAGGTTTGTGCATGCTCAGTCATGTCTGACTCTTTGTGATGCCACAGACTGTAGCCCACCAGGCTCCTCTGTCTATGGAATTTTCCAATGGAGTGGGTTGCCATTTCCTACAACAAGATTTTCCCTACTCAGGGATCAAACCCATATCTCCTGCATTGGCAAGCAGATTCTTTACCACCAAGCCAGTGCATTGAATACTGCTATTTTTATTTTACAAATTGATAAATTAGTCTATTGATTAGTTAACATTCTGGTTACCTTCTGGAGAGATAGCTATAGAGGGAATCATTAAGTATTCCTAATCATATTCAGAAAGAAATTTGAGTCATAATCATAATCTGGAGAGAGTGTTGTGTCCTCAACATCATGTCTCAGTCATTTCTGAAACAGTGTCTTTAAGAGATACATATTCAATACAAAGATGGCTTTTGGAGATTTTGCTTTTTCCCTTCCTATTCACAAATGGGTTAGGCAGTTTATTATACAGGTGAGTCAAAATATCTAGTTTTGAAATAAACTATCCATTTAATTCACTGAAGTGTTCACATAATCTTTAAGAACTAGATTATGTACAGAGTTTGTGAATTATTCATTACTACCTATAACAAAACAAAGCTTTGTTCAGAAATCTTCCTACTCTGGGCCTCAAAATTTTATATAAATTTATATCCAATTATCTGAAATCAGTGGATCTAGATATACTTCAAATTTCACATTACTTTTTAAAGATGACATTGTCTTGTGCATTTTGTAACATTTCTAATAGAGAATCTCAGGAATAAGCCCTTAAATAAAATAACTACCATTTTAATATGTGTATGTATATATGATACACATATGATCATATATGTATATATGATATGTATTCTGATTTTTAAAATTTTTCTACATCTGCATACTCAGTTTGTATACTATCTATTAACTTGTCTTCGATATCATTGATGTTTTTCCTTATGCTTTGCACATCCTGTTTTAAAGCCACTACAGTATTTTGGCCTGAGAAATCCCAAGGACAGAGTTACCTAGTGGGCTACAGTCCATCACAAAGAGTTGGACACGACTTTGTAACTAAAAAAAAAAACAAAAACAAATTCATAATTTCACATTTCTTTTCATTTTCTTTTTATTGAAGGATAATTACTTTACAGAATTTTGTTGTTTTCTGTCAAACCTCAACATGAATCAGTCATAGGTATATATATTTTCCTCCCTTTTGAACCTCCCTCCCATCTCCTGCCCCATTTCACCCCTCTAGATTGATACAAAGCCCCTGTTTGAGCTTCCTGAGGCATACAACAAATTCCTGTTGGCTATCTATTTTACATGGTAATGTAAGTTTCCATATTATACTCTTTCCATACATCTCACCCTCTCCTCCCCTCCCCCCATGTCCATAAGTCTATTCTCTATGTCTGTTTCTCCATTGCTGCCTGAAAATAAATTCTTCTGTACCATTTTTCTAGGTTCTGTTTATATGTGTTAGAACACAATATTTATCTTTCTCTTTCTGACTCACTTTACTCTGTACAATAGGTTCTAGGTTCATCCACCTCGTCAGAACTGACTCAAATGCATTTGTTTTTATGGCTGAGTAATATTCCATTTAGTATATGTACCACAACCTCTTTATCCATTCATCTGTTGGACATCTAGGTTGCTTCCATGTTTTAGCTATTGTAAAGAGTGCTCCAGTGGACAATGGGATACCTGTGTCTTTTTCAACTTTGGTTTCTTCAGGGTATATGCCTAGGAGTGGGATTGCTGGGTCATATGGTGGTTTTATTCCTAGCTTTTTAAGAAATCTCCATACCATCTTCCATAGTGGCTGTATCAGTTTACATTCCCACCAACAGTGCAAGAGGGCTCCCTTTTCTCCACACCTTCTCCAGCCTTTATCGTTTGTAGACTTTTTGATGAGGGCCATTCTGACTGGTGTGAGGTGATATCTCATTATAGTTTTAATTTGCCTTTCTCTAATCATGAGTGACGTTGAGCATCTTTTCATGTGTTTGTTAGCCATCTGTGTGTCTTCTTTGGAGAAATATCTGTTTAAGTCTTTTCCCCACTTCTTGATTGGGTTGTTTGTTTTTCTGGCATTGAGTTGTATGAGCAGCTTGTATATTTTGGAAATTAATCCTTTGTCAGTTGTTTCATTTGCTATTATTTTCTCCCATTCTGAGGGAAGTCTTTTCACCTTGCTTATAGTTTCCTTGGCTGTGCAAAAGCTTTTAAGTTCAATCAGGCCCCACTTGTTAACTTTTGTTTTTATTTCCATTACTCTAAGAGGTGGGTCATAGAGGATCTTGCTTTGATTTATGTCATCAAGTGTTCTACCTATGTTTTCCTCTAAGAGTTTTATAGTTTCTGGTCTTACATTTAGGTCTCTAATCCATTTTGAGTTTATCCATATGTATGGTGTTAGGAAGCATTCTGATTTCATTCTTTTGAATATAACTGTCCAGTTTTCCCAGCACCATTTATTGAAGAGACTGTCTTTGCCCCATTGTATATTCTTGCCTCCTTTGTCAAAAATAAGGTACCCATAGGTGCATGGGTTTATTTCTTGGCTTTCTATCTTGTTCCATTGGTCTGTATTCCTGTTTTTGTGCCAGAACCATACTGTCTTGATGACTGCAGCTTTGTAATATGATCTGAAGTCAGGAAGGTTTGATTCCTCCAGCTCCATTCTTCTTTCTCAAGACTGCTTTGGCTATTCGGGCTCTTTTGTGTTTCCATATGAATTGTGAAATTTTTTGTTCTAGTTCTGTGAAAAATGCCATTGGTAATTTGATAGGGATTGCACTGAATCTGTAGATTGCATTTGGTAGTAGTCATTTTCACAACATTGATTCTTCCTATCCAGGAACATGGAATATCTCTGTCTGTTTATGTCCTCTTTGATTTCTTTGATCAGTGTCTTATAATTTTCTGTGTATAGTTCTTTTGTTTCCTTAGGTAAATTTATTCTTAGATATTTAATTCTTTTTGTTGCAATGGTGAATGGGATTGATTCCTTAACTTCTCTTTCTGATTGTTCATTGTTCGTATATAGAAATGCAACTGTGTATTGATTTTGCATCCTGAAACTTTACTAAATTCACTGATTAGCTCTAGTAATTTTTCCATACTATCTTTAGGGTTTTCTATGTACAGTATCATGCCATCTGCAGACAGTGAGAGCTTTACTTCTTCTTTTCTGATCTGGATTCCTTTTATTTCTTTTTCTTCTCTGCTGTAGCTAGGACTTCCAGAACTATGTTGAATAACAATGGTGAAACATTTGTTTTGTTCCTGATCTGAGGGGGAATGCTGTCCATTTTTCACCATTGAGAATAATGTTTACTGTAGGCTTTTCATATATGGCCTTTACAAGGCTGAGGTATGCCCATTTTTTGAAGAGTTTTAATCATAAATGGGTGCTTAATTTTGTTAAAGGCTTTCTTGCATCTATTGAGATTGTCATATGTTTTTTATCTTTCAATTTGTGATATGGAGTATCACATTGATTGATTTGTGTATATTGAAGACTCCTTGTATTCCTGTAATAAACCCAACTTGATCATGGTGTATGAACTTTTTGATGTGTTGCTGAATTCTGTTTGCTAAAATTTTTTTGAGAATTATTGAATCTATGCTCATCAGTGATACTGGCCCATAGTTTTCTTTCTTTGTGCTGTCTTTGTCTGGTTTTGGCATCAGGGTGATGGTGGCCTTCCTCTGCAATTTTTGAAAGAGTTTTAGAAGGATAGGCGTTAGCTCTTCTCTAAATATTTGGTTTTTTTTTTTCCATATATTTTTATTAGTTGGAGGCTAATTACTTTACAATATTGTAGTGGTTTTTGCCATACATTGACAGGAATCAGCCATGGATTTACATGTGTTCCCCATTCTAATCCCCCCTCCCACCTCCCTCCCCATCCCATCCCTCTGAGTCTTCCCAGTGCACCAGCCCTGAGCACTTGTCTCATGCATCCAACCCGGGCTTTTGATCTGTTTCAGACTTGATAATATACATGTTTCAATGCTACTCTCTCAGATCATCCCACCCTCGCCTTCTCCCACAGAGTGCAAAAGTCCATTCTATACACCTGTGTCTCTTTTTCTGTCCTGCATATAGGGTTATCATTACCATCTTTTTAAATTCCATATATTTGATAGAATTCTCCTGTGAAGCCATCTGGTCCTGGGGCTTTGTATTTGGGAGATTTTTGATCACAGCTTCAATTTCAGTGCTTGTAATTGGGTTGTTCATAATTTCTATTTCTTCCTGATTTAGTATTGGAAGATTGAACCTTTTCTAAGAATCTGTCCATTTCTTTAAGGTTATTCATTTTATTGCCATATAATTGTTCATAATAGTCTCTTATAATCCTTTGTATTCTGCATTGTCTGTTGTAACCTCTCCTTTTTCATTTCTAATTTTGTTGATTTGATTCTCTTTTTTTTTCTTGATGAATCTGGCTAAAGGCTTGTCCATTTTGTTTATCTTCTCAAAGAACCAGCTTTTAGTTGTATTAATCTTTACTATTGTTTCTTTCATTTCTTTTTCATGTATTTCTGCTCAGATCTTTATGATTTCTTTCCTTCTACTAATTTTGGGGGGTTTTTGTTCTTGTTTTTCCAGT